AAGAACAGTGATGCGCAACTGGTTAACCCACGTTGTTGAAGTTTGGAAGTAAGGTTTGCACAAAGTTTTTTTGACTTTTTTAAAGTTTTTTTTTTTTTTTTTTTTTTTTTTGGTTTGTGCAAAGGTTTGAGCTGACTAAGGTTATAATCAACTCATGTGTGTGTGGGGCGGCACATTCAGGGCAAAATTGCTCATGTTGTTGTCATGCCAAGCGTCAAAGTGAACAAGCTAGAGGCATTCGTCAGAGAGCTGTTGGCAAGCAGAAAGAAGTTCTTCCCCGACGGCGTGGTGTAAGTGCAGAGAGCACCCTCCTACGTTTCTTTTTGTTTTTCTTTTTTCAACAGGGGGTGGTCTTATCTTGAACAGAAAATTTTTATTCAGCTGGATCTTTCAGATTTCCGCCTCATGATACTGACAGTTGCATGTGTGTAATAAGGACTGTGTGTACCATTCAGCCACAGGGGCACCGGGAATCACTTTCCCATTTCCACATTCCCGGAGCCACTGTAATAAGGGCTGAAGGGTCTAAGCAGTAAGAAGTCCTAAGACCCCTCCAGCCCTGTTATCACTGAAGACCTTTTTTTTGTTTTTTTTTTTAAATGTGGCCCGATTGACCACGGATCAGATATTAAACTGATCAGAACAGATACTACACGTGATCTTAGCCAAAAGGCCGAGAAAGGTATATCACTGAAGACCTTTGGTTTCCATGTTATGCCTAAAAAAGAGCTGTTCAGTGGCTCGGGGAATGTGGTGCAATGAACCTCCAAGTTCAACACCAATGAATGCACATATTCTGATATTCAGTCCACATGCATGTATGAGTTCACACTCGAAATTCACACTGAAGACCAAAGAGATGAAGACCAGGTAACACAGCTTATCTTTTCCAGAAAGTGTTTTTTTTTTTTGTTTTTGTTTTTTTTTAAACAAACAAAACAGCCCTTTCTATTCTGGGGGGCACCAGTCCGGTTGCTTATCACCGGCAAGCCTGAAAACCACAGTACAATTTGATTGTAAGAGAAGAGGAAAGCCTTACCCTTTCAGCCCTAGCCTCCTATCAAGGAGGGGAGGACTGCTACAACCAATCCCACTTCCCATACAAGCGCAATAAGAGTCCAAATCATCAGCACTCGACAGCGCATGTCAATAAGTAACCAAGAATCAGCATACTCTCTCAGGTAAGTATCTCTTCCTCTCTGCGCTTCTCTCTTATGTTTCTCTCCACCTTGCTGGTCTTCTCCCTAGCTATGAACTGGCTGTGTCTTCTCTCCCTACATGCATTCACGCTCACTAATCTACGACTTCATGGATCTACTCTGACTCTGAATGCACCCACTGTCAACTCTACTATCCCCACTGGAGTCTACTACTAACAACTAGCACTAACTCTTCTGCACTGGCGCAGCTATGGCTGCCTTCTCCCTGCCAGCGCTATCTTCCTCTCTCTCTCTCTCTCTCTCTCTCTCTCTCTCTCTCTCTCTCTCTCTCTCTCTCTCTCTCTCTCTCTCTCTCTC